GTCTCCTCCTCCTCTCCAAGCCGCACCCCTTCACTCTCAGGCGGATTCATCCAGGAAGAAACCCCGGAGGAACCACCGGCTTCTGTCCGATTTACAGAGCATTTTTGGGGGTTTACACACACTCGTTTCCGCTGGTTTTGTCGCAGCTAAAGTCAACATGCTGATCAAAGAGTTGTGAGTATCTTAACTTTGTATTAAAGTGCGCTTTTTTACATGTATGTGTATACAGAGTGGAGAGAAACTGGCTCTGTGGCTTAACTTTAATTATTTAACATTACAGAGAAAAGGAAGCCTGGTTAATGCTGTAGTTTGTTAAAATACATACTCCATATGTCTCGATGTTTTGTATCTATGTTGGTCTTTCTGTGGTTCTGCAGCTTATAATGGTGCAAGTATTTTGACTCAAGGCGTTCAGAAATCCTGGGAATTTAACGTGTATTGGTTGTGAGGCAAAAAGTACATACATGCTCAATCAATAACTATAGATTTTAAAGTTATTTAAGTATATAAATGTTGATCTGTGTGTTTTTAACTCCAATTTACCTTTACTGTTTTCGCTGTAAACGTGCTGACTTTACGCTGCATTTTGGTAGGAAGAGGGTGCGGAAAAACAACATTTGAAGTTGAATTGTTATTGATTTAATGTATTCCTTCAAGTATGGATGTATGCCGAATTAAAAAACACATCTCCAGTGTTAAGAAAATATACACAATTACATTTTACAAGGCATCCAGGTGAATTTATAGGCAAATCAATGTTAAATTGGAATTTTCTCGGATGGGATTTGGTGTTTTTGAGCTCGGTGTTTATTGACACAGCCAAAAAAGGTGTATCCCAAATCTGAAATGAGCCCCGAAATAGCTCGTTTTAAGCACAGTTTTTATTTACTAAGGGAGTTATCGTACAGAGATGTCTCATGCTAACCAGAAGCTGTCATCTGACCACGGTGCAAAGTACATTAAAGATTAGGCTTCATTTTAGTCTTAGTCTGTAAAAAGTAATTTGTTTTTCTGTCAGAGCGGGTTTATCTTTCCCATCGCCCTGCAGGTTCTCCTCTTTCACTCTGATCTGTTGACATGAATTATTTAGGATCTGCCAGACTGCCAACAGGTGGCGATTAATTGGCTGCTTTATCACAGACAGGGGCTGACAGAGGGACAATGGGAACCTGGGCAGAGACATGCAAAAGACCCCACCATCTCACACACACACACACACACACACACACACACACACACACACACACACACACACACACACACACACACACACACACACACACGTACACACACGTCCCTTTTGTAATTGTATGGAGTGTCATTTTGTGTCTCTTTGTAGTCGTTTTGTGTCTCTCTTTGTCCTTGCAGTTTCTTTGTGAGACCTTGTTGATATTGTGTGTCTCTTTGAGTCACTTTTGTTATTGTTTAGAGTGTATTTGTGGTGTGTCTTTGTAGCTGTGTAGTGTCTCATTGTAGTCCATCTGTGTCTCTTAAGTTATTTTGTGTCTCTTTGCAGTTGTTTTGATTCCCTTTTGTAATGTTTAGTGTCTCTTTGTAGTCGTTTTGTGTCCGTCTGTCACTTTCTCTGTGAGACCTTGTAGATATGTTGTGTCTTTGTGGTCATTTAGGCTCTTTGAAGTCATTTTGAGTCACTTTTGTAATTGTTTAGAGTGTCATTGTTGTCATTTGGTGTCACTTTCAGCTCTTTTGAGTCTCTTTGTTGGCATGTTGAGTCCCTAAAGTGTGTATTTAGAAATGTGTTGTGTCGCTTTGTAGCTGAAGTGTCTCTTTGCAAACTGTGTTGTGTCCTTGCAGACAATCTGTGTCTCTTTTTAAAGTCATTTTGGGTCCCTTTTTTTGCCATTTTCTGTCTCTTTGTTGAACGTCTGTGTCACTTCATAGTTGCTTGTGTCTCTTTTTAATATTTTGTGTCCTCCTTCTCGTCCTTATGGGTCTCTCTGAAGCTATTTTGTTAGTCTTTTAAGTCATGTTGTGTCTCTTTGCCGCTGGTTTAGGTGTCTTTGTAGTCCTTTTGTGTCACTTTAAGGTGTTTTGAAGTTCTTTGTAGTAGTTTTATGTGTCCTTTTGCCATTTTCTGTCTCTTTGATTAACTTCGGTGTCACTTTATAGTTATTTCTGTCTCTTTTTTATATTTGGTGTCCTCCTTCTGGACATTTTGGGTCTCTTTCTAGTCATGTGTCTCTTTTTTAAAGGTCTCTTTTGGTGTTTTTAACACTCTTCCTGGTTAGCTTCTGTCTCTTTGTGTAATATTTTGTGCTGAGGGTAAAAACATGCACGTGCACGGCTTCCTCCAGGAGTCCCGGGTTTATTTGTTCTTGATTGCAGTTTGTCAATTTCCTCTTCCTCTTCTCGAGGTTCCTATAATAACAGGACACGAGAACCAACCAATCAAAATCCACCGTTTTAAAAGCAGTGCTGTGAATAAAATGCTGACTTGTGCATAATGTGAAAATGCTGGATCATATTTATGCAATGTGTTATGCTTTTATGGCTACACCAACAAGTACTGAGATACATTAGTAGTTTAGTATGTCCTTTCTGAACTGCCATATTTAAATTCGGTCACTTATTCTTGTTTTTCCTGCATTTTCTCACTTAAATATTGTGTTTTTTCATGTCATATTTTGTCAAGAAGTCAGATTTCTTTGTGTGTGTTGACGCATATAAGTGCTGTTGTCGTGTAATAAGAACATATATGTATCTATGGAGCTCGTACAGATATGACTCTGGTATCTTTTCACTCAAATCGAGGCAATGCAATACATTACCCCGAAAAATATTCCCAAAAACGTGTAGAAACTTTTAATTTCCTCACGTTTGGGATTTTGAACATGTTGATCATTGATAACACATCCTCCTCAACATTATAATTATCATTGATGAATTGTTTGTTGTTATTTATTTATGAGCACTAACATATTGTTTCTTTCTGTCCCTTTCAGCCGAATTGTCCTGCCTGTTTCCGTGGAGGAGGTAAGGACTCTTTCACTTTTATTTGAGCACAGAGGCCACATTAATTGACATGAATCTATTACGAGGTTTAATGAGACGGCTTATACCAATTTACTGTCTTTTACGTGTTGGCTGTACGGTAGGGCTGTGCGATTATGGCAACAATTATAATCACGATTATTTGGGTCAATAATTGATATCACGATTATTAAATACGATTATTCATTGACTTTGAAAACATCCATTTATTGAACTTTAAAACAAATACAAATAATAATTTGAACAGTATCTTTTGAACTGTTGATTACCCTGAACGTATAATTCAACTGAAAAACCAATACAAAAATAAATTAAATAAATTATACATTTATATTTACATTTAAATAAATAATATCAAAAATAATAAATACCAATAAACAAGATCAGCAAATATTTTGGAGCGCACTTCAACAAGCTACTAAACATATGTAAATATGATAAATACAAATACAATTGATCAAATATGTTGCACTGTCACAACCAAGCAAAGCAAAATAATCGTTTTTTTCGATTATGTTGTTTTCGTAATTGTGGCAGGCCAAAATCGTAATTGCGATTAAAATACGATTAATTGCACAGCCCTAATGTACGGGTCCACAACTCAGCTACACTTTAAATGCTCACAGATGCATTACATTAGCAGCACTTTAGCATCCTGTAAATTCAACTTTTACCGTGATGTTTTAGCTTACTTTGTGTATAAAAAGTGTAGTTTTTTCAAGCATTTGACACACTTAAAGGTGGGGTAGGTAATTCACTTCAGATACACTTTTTGTTATATTCCATGGAATGCTCTTAACATCCCGATAGCAATGAATACATTAAAGGCTTTGACAATAAATACATAAAGAAATATTTCATCTGGAAGCCGTGGCGCTGTAAAAAGCACGACCAATCATCTGAGCCGGCCCGGCTAAAATAACTGGATGGCCTACCTGCCTGTCAGCCTTCCATCTGTGCACAAACTTATCTCGTGCCCTCATTGGTCATGTGCGCGTTCGTGTGTGTTGGAGGAGGGGCTCTGTGAGGAAGTCTGAAGGAAGGGGCAGATTTTTTTCGGCTGCGTACTTTCAAATTCTAGCACACTTGAACTGGTTTCTCCATTCTTACCTACCCTACCTTTTAAGTTCACATTTCCTAACGATAAGTAGCAGTGAACCAGTGTTTGAAGAGCCGATGGCAGTCATATGAAATGCAGATATATTTTTCAGCGTTTTCTCTGATTGCTGAAATTGATCTGCACTCTATCTACAGTGCACTTATTGCAAATAACAAACAATGTATGAATTAAATAAACCTCCAGAGGTTATCGAAATTAAAGATTATAAAAAAGCAATTTATGAATGTAAAGAACAGAGTTTTGTGCGAATAAAAAAAAAAAAGCCTGTATAATAGCTTCTCTATGTGTCTGAGAGACGGCAAATTTAATAAATAAATTAGTCCTTTTAGGCTAGTGTCCTTCTTGGGGTTTGCTCCATGAAATACTATAACAGATACATAGTTGTGGATGCAGACAGTACTGATTTTCATTATTTAAATATACCGTTTTTAAGCCAACTATAGTACCAAAGATAATCTGTCATCCCTTCCTCCCAAAGCATGAGTTTCCTTGTACCTTTCCCCCTGACAACTCGTAAAGAGGAATAACTATTTACCAGATCTCGTTTAAAAAGAGTCTTCTGCAGATATCACAAAACATGTCGGCCATCAAAGGAAACTTGCTATGTGATTATTATGATATGAACTTTCTGGCACTTTTCTTAAAGGCATGTTACAAATCCAGCAGCACTCCTTGTTGTTGGAGTTTCCTTCTCTCACTTTAATCTCTCTCTTGATGCCCTTGCAGTTGAAACGCTCGGCTATCAGTGGCAGGATTGATTCAGCTGTGTTTAATCTGAGACTCACTGCCAATTACATTTCGGAGCAGATCCAAAACATGCATTATTAAAAGGTGCAGTGAATGAGTCCTAAACCCAGAAATAAGTCAGCATTTAACCAATTCCTTTCCCTTGTCTGGAAGTCAATGGTTTTTTGAGTGTGTATTTGGTTGTTAGTCTGAAATAAGGTCTGTGGTTAACACAAGCTGAAGAGATTTTATTTCTACGACATAAAATACATCGGTAAATAACCCACTGGTGGATTTAAAAACAGTGTCTAAATGAGACGACTAAACGTCATCACACCCAACATTAGCCACCTTTAGCTTAGCGGTGGTGAAGTGAAGTCATGTGACTGTGTTGTAGTTCCTTTATAGCCCAACATTAGCCACCTTTAGCTTAGCGGTGGCGACGTGAAGTCATGTGACCGTGCTGTAGTTCCTTTGTAGCCCAACATTAGCCACCTTTAGCTTAGCGGTGGTGACGTGAAGTCATGTGACCGAGCTGTAGTTCCTTTATAGCCCAACATTAGCCACCTTTAGCTTAGCGGTGGCGACGTGAAGTCATGTGACCGTGCTGTAGTTCCTTTATAGCCCAACATTAGCCTCCTTTAGCTTAGCGGTGGTGACGTGAAGTCATGTGACCGAGCTGTAGTTCCTTTATAGCCCAACATTAGCCACCTTTAGCTTAGCGGTGGTGACGTGAAGTCATGTGACCGTGCTGTAGTTCCTTTATAGCCCAACATTAGCCACCTTTAGCTTAGCGGTGGTGACGTGAAGTCATGTGACCGTGCTGTAGTTCCTTTATAGCCCAACATTAGCCACCTTTAGCTTAGCGGTGGTGAAGTGAAGTCATGTGACTGTGTTGTAGTTCCTTTATAGCCCAACATTAGCCACCTTTAGCTTAGCGGTGGTGACGTGAAGTCATGTGACCGAGCTGTAGTTCCTTTATAGCCCAACATTAGCCACCTTTAGCTTAGCGGTGGCGACGTGAAGTCATGTGACCGTGCTGTAGTTCCTTTGTAGCCCAACATTAGCCTCCTTTAGCTTAGCGGTGGTGACGTGAAGTAATGTGACCGAGCTGTAGTTCCTTTATAGCCCAACATTAGCCACCTTTAGCTTAGCGGTGGTGACGTGAAGTCATGTGACCGTGCTGTAGTTCCTTTGTAGCCCAACATTAGCCACCTTTAGCTTAGCGGTGGTGACGTGAAGTCATGTGACCGTGCTGTAGTTCCTTTATAGCCCAACATTAGCCACCTTTAGCTTAGCGGTGGTGACATGAAGTCATGTGACCGTGCTGTAGTTCCTTTATAGCCCAACATTAGCCACCTTTAGCTTAGCGGTGGTGACGTGAAGTCATGTGACCGTGCTGTAGTTCCTTTTATAGCCCAACATTAGCCTCCTTTAGCTTAGCGGTGGTGACGTGAAGTCATGTGACCGTGCTGTAGTTCCTTTTATAGCCCAACATTAGCCGCCTTTAGCTTAGCGATGGTGATGTGAAGTCATGTGACCGTGCTGTAGTTCCTTTTCTGTCTGAGATGGGAACTCAGAGTGTGGGAATATGAAGACAGATGTGTGAACTTGTGAGTTTCTCTACATATTTATCTCTTAATTATCTCACCTGTTCATTGAGTTCTAGCCATTTATCCCCACCCTAAAGAAAACCCTCCCTCTCTTTGAGTTTCCACTGCTTCACACAAGCAGGTATTTCTCTGAGTCACTTCATGTCCGTTTTGCTGTACGACCGGCTTTTTCCTCCGATCCCTTTCAGAGCGAGGCTTGATTCCTGTTAGTCGAGAAACTGAGCGTCATGATTATAACCGCCCGAGCTAGAGAGAATCTGGATCAGTGTGTGTGAAGGGATTATGCATGGCCTCTCAAATCAGAAACGTGTATATAATGGACACTTCCTAACCTGCTTTCTGACATTCTATTGGAATAATAGTCGTATAAATGGTTACTCAAGCAGTTGTAATGCTCTCTGGTCCCATTATTTAATACTTGCCTGACATTTCTTCAGCTATTTTGATTTCTTTATCATACATAAATTATAAGAATACAGCATATTTTGTTAGTAATACTGCTTTAACTCAACCATGTCCTTTTTTCTTTCTCAAATGACACTTTTGTGAGTTGGTTGCCTATTGTAAACTATGCACACACTTCAGAGAGGATTTAATGGTCATTTCCAAATGTAGTAAGTTAGTCAAAATCAAAGCAGCTCAGACTGAGATGATATCCAGATTTCCACTTCATGTAAACACTGAATTCCTCTCTGTTTGCTTAAGTAGATCTGCACTTTGTCTCATGTTCACCTATTTTAAAGTAGGTCAAAAAGGGGTGTATGATTCTCTAAGTTGCTGAAACTGACATAAAAACTAAAGTAATTAATTTCCAGTCCGTAGCATTGGTTAATCTAAAACAACATTTTATCCTAAACCTCCCATGATGCATCTCAATACCATTTGATAAGCTCACATCCTTTACAATCCAGCAGCTTAACCCAGCGATAGTGTCTTATAATAAAACAATTAAACATCTACCGGCCACACCCTGTTTTTGTCAGGTTACACACAACACACACACACTCTCTTCACACACTTCCCCTCATGCGTTTTGACCGGTATTGCTGACCACCTCCCGTCACGTTAAGCAGGTTTTTTTCATTTGCAGCCGAAATGTCGTGTTTCTGTCTCTGAGTTTCTGCGTTACGTCTGCGAACAATGAGGAGACACTCTGGTTTGTCACGATAAGTCACATTCCTGAGTTTGTACTCATCTACAGACTCTGGAATAAGGTGTACCCAAGAGGGCTTGGCATTGTACCGAATGTATTCTTTTTTACATTTAAAACTTATGGCACTTATTCACCATCAACTAGTTGTTAATTAACATATTCGAGACACACTACTAGCTTATTTGTTATGAACAAGACTTCACTTTAAAATAGAGAATTCTGACTTAGAAATACAACATTTTGAGTTATTTAGACACAATTAACACTTATAGTTTCATGTCTTGTTACATAAGAATAGATCATATTTGTTAGGTGTTATTATGGGAGAATTACTATTCTTGTGGTAAATAAGGACTAATTAGAGGGTTAT